AGAAATTACACATTTAATCGAAAGAAGTAAAAACAACACTTAACATTTAAAATCAAACGCGAGCTGATCATTTCTGCGTCTGTGAAAATAAAAAAAAAAAAAAAACAAAAAACAAAGAAAAGAAAGAAAACAAGTGGATAATTTTTCAGAAGTAAGGACGCGAAGTGTGTCCTGATTATTCGCGAGCGAACTCTTTTTCTCGTCGATAAGATTAATCTTCCGTTCTGTATATTTTTTTGCGAATTCTCCGCTGCGGCACGTGACATGAATTATTGAAAGCTCCGCAGAAAATTATTCCGCCGACCTTAGGGCGATATCGAGTCTGACGCGCGCGTGTCGGGATACACGCGCGCGTTGTTTTCCGCGGTGGAAAAAGGGTTCGTGAAAGCGGGCGTAATGGTAACGGAGAGAGAATGAGAGAGAGAGAGAGCCGCGGCGGAATATAGGCGTTTCTATCGATTTCGCGCGTAATAAGAGTAACAATTTGCCGAACGCGGGGAGGAGAGACTATATGTAAGTGCGCGCTCGCACCTGCCGGTACGAAGAGTACGCTCGCTAAGGGGGCGGTACGGGGTGAGAAATTGGCGCAAGCGTTACCCTCGAGGCAAGGCTCTCTCTCTCTCTCTCTTCTAACCCGCGTACAATTCCCATGCGGCCCGTATACGCGTTTGCGAGGCGCATGCGAGAAGCCCGTCTTTAAGTGCATTCTCGCAGCCGCGAGACTTTTATTGCCCGTATAATTGCGTAATTCTTACGCGGGTGACTATGGAACCGATCCTTACCTCCTCTCTCTCTCTCTCTCTTTCTCTATCTCCGATGTTTTTTTCTCTCCGCCGCGCGGAGGTTTTTGCCCAACGCGTTTTACTCGCAAACGCGCTGTGTCCACAGCAGCCGTAACAGTATTTCTCTCTTTAAGTGCTACTTCGCTGTTTATTCTTTTTTCCGGCAAAGTACGTAATGCACGAACTGAATTGTTACGGATTGCGCGAAATATTGTCACGTTTTGCCGCTGACGCTTACATCAACAACATTTCCGACGTTTCGATATTTTTTAAGCGAAGCGCAGAGTTCCATTTTCTCGGGCGCTACGACGTATCCAGTTTCACGCGAAGCTAACGCATTCAGTCGAGATCTGTTATATATATATATATTAAAAATTGTATTACCGCCAGTTTTTTCATCGTGAAACTTTTTAAAGCACCGTTACAACGTTCTTGTTGTTGTTCGGTAAACGTAAATCGCGTTGACGTATCGTGGTGTGCTTTGGAGATGAAATTATAAATTTTAGATGCGTTACGCGAAAATGATAAAAAATGACAGATGTTGCTTCTCATAACAAATTTCGTTGTATAATTAAGTAGAGAAACGGAAACTTTTTGAAATAAATCTCTACCCGTTTCTCTTTCGCGTAACTGCGTCTTCTGTCTTTCTTTCCGATGTAGTTAAAAATTTTATACAGAGATACAATCCCTCTCCCTTCCTGTCATTAAAAAGAAAAATCTGACGAATTTTTCTTTGGTGAAAAAAAAAAAAAATGCGGAGATGGAATATTCAAGCGGAGAGATTCTCTTCTCCGCTTAAACAGATGCAACACTGTTGGTTAAAAATCCACGTTCGGGGGACGAGGAGAACATTTACATACGTATTGGTTCTTTCGGCACTAAAAATACAATCAAGAAAATGTTCTACATCCGTCCGACGGCGCGTTTCTTTTTCGCGCAACAAAAAAAAACGTACGTTACGTGCGTGCAACGTGACTAAACGCAAAAATATGATGAAAACGAAAAAAGTAAAGAGAAGCAAGAAGAAGAAGAAGAGAAAGAAGATGAAGAAAAAAATAAAATTCAAGAGAGAGAACGCAAAGCGCGAGATTTACTCGTTGCGCATCCCGTCTACTACTTAACGTAAGTAGTTCGTCAGAAGCAGGTCAGGCATCGATGCCTACACTGAAGTAGGTAGCGCATGGCACTTGTGCATTTCTGGATAACTCGTGAGTGGTCGTAACGCGATTACTGAAAGTCTCTCGCACACTTTCCTCGCGTTCCGATAAAGTTCTCGAGGATGGTATCGTGCGCGATTGAGTCGCGCGAATCGAGGAGTTTTACTGGTGCTCTGAGCGCAGCCAATGCGAAAGTCTTGCCGACGATACGCGAGAAGGTATCGTCGTTATCGATGTGCTTCGTTTCTCTCTCTCTCTCTCTCTCTCTCTCTCTTTCCTTTTCTTGCTAAAAGCGTTCAGAATAAAAGTATCGGAAACCGTCGGTGTTCGCGTCCCGTACACGGGGAGACGTGCGCGATCCGCGCGCGATAAACGCCTATCGTATAATCGAAACGGCATCGGGCGGGAAGTACCTCGTAAACTTGCTTCTCTCTCTTTCTCTCTTTCTCTTTCTCTTCGCGTATGCAAGTCAGTATTAATAGCGACTTCATGGGGGCCTCGGTCTAACGAAGTTATCGATCTCGCGATTTGTCACTCTGATATATTGCTCGCGCGGAATTCTACCACGCATATTGTCGCGTAAAATTGGAAATTCGTGATAGATGACTTTCGTTGAAGAAAAGTCAACTTTAAATTCCCCGCGTGTTCCTCATTAAAATTTAAATCACAAATTGTGGAATTTCTCATCGCGCGTGTATTTTCTTTTTCTTTTGTTTTTTTTTTTTTTTTTTTATTTTTGTCTGCTTTTTCACCCGTGTGTGTCGCGTCAAAACAATCCGAACGTAATAAAACGCGCGATGAGCGATTAATCTTTCTTGCTTGAACCTACGAAATTTCTGTCGCAAATGAAATATTCAAATTAGGTGCGTTTTCAAGGCGACGTCGTTGTTTAAAAAAAAAAAAAATATCACGCGATGCGAGATCTCGCTAACTAAACTACTTTTCGGCGGGGTCTGCGAAGATTTGCTAATAAACCTTCTTTTATTGCGTCATCAAGAAATTCATCTATCTTTTATTTCGCTCCGAGAATCGAGGCAATCTCTCGCTTTAATAATAATAATAAAAAAGAAAATATATGTTGGGAGAGAATATGACCGTCGTGAAACGAGCTTAATCTGATTATAATTTCATCATTAAACTTAACAACGTTTCCATCTGCTTACAGGTACTTTCGCGGTACTATCGTTGACGATCAGATTTAAATCTTAACAAGATATATAAGACTTGTCAGAGTCAGAAGCTTAAACTTTGCTTTTTTTTTTTTTTTTTTTTTTAATTCTGTCTTGGCACGCAAAAATGTAACAAGTAATTAAAGATACCGCTTCTGTGCGTGATATTGCATACACTTTTTTTCATTGAAAAATTAATAAAATTAAACAATCATCAAAGACAAAGATGTGAAGCAACGAAATTAAAAAAATTGCATCGTTCGATTTTTGTGCAAATGTCAGTCTTAGATCAAATATACTTTTAATAGTTCAAGAATCGCGCGCGCGTGTGTGCAATACTCGCTCTGATAATATTATCCGTTGAACGTGTGACAGTGACGGGCGTTACGATCGATTATGCGGGATGCTCGCGATTGTCGATCTGTCGTACGGTCCTCGCGAAGTACATTCACCGCTCGCGCGAGGGGGGCCGGATCGTGTATTCCATTTGTATTCGCCGACCTGACAGCCGAAGTTTACACGTACGCGTTTTCTTCTTTCCTTGGCAAATATAAGGAATTTGATTTCACGTGACGACAGCGCGCGCATCAATTCTTCCCCGGTCATAACGCTTGAGCACGATGGCAGATTTCGATATTTGTAAAATGGCTTTCTTTCACGCCACTTTTTTTCGTTTTTCAACGTTTTCAGATACACAAGTCATTTATCTCGCAGATGCAACACAAGTTCCGATAAAGCCGACTAAGATTGATACATCGCGTGTTAGTTTATACTCGCATCTTGTCGAATTTCTCGATAATATGCTTCTTTATCAATTTTCGATTTGTATAATAGAAGATTATATTGCGAACGCAAACATATATACGTGCATAGAATCGTGTGAATGAAACAGATAATGTAGTCGCGCAGATTTCGATACAAGAGCACGTGCCTGCCGCTTCTATTAAGATGTACACCGTCCAATCAGCGAACATGTATGCCCCGTAATGCGCGCGCCGTACACGCGGATAAACATGTGGCGCATCGGATATTATAGACACGGTCGGTAGACCGTAACAGCCAATAGATCACGAATGCTGAAACGGGGAACAGCTATAAATATTGCCGGGAGAGAAAGAGAGACTGTGAGTACAGTGAAACGCCGGTCGAGAAATACCGAGATTGACAATAAAGAGAGAGAGAGAGAGAGAGAGAGAGAGAGAGAGAGAGAGAGAGAGAGAGAGAGAAAGAGAGGAGATCCGGAGAGTAGCCCGAGAAAGTTTTCCAATTTGAAGCAATTAGTTTGCAGTACGGCGCTGGATGGCATGCATCCAGATAATCGAATATGGGTCAGCGTTTCTCTCTCTCTCTCTCTCTCTCCCTCTTTCTCTCTGTCTCTCTTAAAGTGGGATGAGTCGACTCTACGGCCAGAGAATTGCAGAAATACAGAGAGAGAGAGAGAGAGAGAGAGTTTCTCATGTGCACGTGCGACGGGTCAACCTCGTCGCACTTCTGGCATGTCCGACGCGCATAAAACCACGTGGCACGATTCGGGAGAGCGGGTTGCCTTAGAACTTCCACCCGCGGTAATCGATTGATCGATCGGCTCTCCGATCTACAACTGCAATTGATCGATGCGCCTGGCCACGTCGGGTCGGACCGACCGGCGTCTTCGGGCGCAGTGATAGAGCTTTAAAGTTTCCCCGCCGTACGTGTGTTTGCGGGTTTTCGAATTTGTTCGGAGAAGAATATTGAGGAGGCAGACTGCAATATCTCGGTACCGTTCAGTGATAATTACGTTAATACGTACAAAATATCGACATTGAAGATATCGCGATTAAATGAAATGTATTTATGATAAAAATGTGACTTACATTTGTTCATGAATGTCATTTTGTATTTTTTATTTACAGAATCCGAAGCCAGTTGGGAGGAATGGTGGACCTACGACGGCATCTCTGGTGAGTGATTCTTTTGCTTGAATTGAAGAAATGAACTTTTGCATGAAAATTGAACTTTCGCGTCTCGATGTCTGACACCTGTTAGATACTTCTACTGAATATTTGCGCGATAAAAAAACAGACGCATAAATTACGCGAGTTTTTACTACGCTATTTTTATTGTTATTTAATTATTATTGCTCTCTTTTTTGTCAACAAACGTTCGCTCAGCTCACATGTTTCGCTTACATTTGCGTTGCGCTGTGTGTTGCGCGATAATTTCCGTGTTATTTCCTTTTTTTTTTTGGGTTGGGTGGGGAGAGGAGTGGGTGTTTCCGTCATGTCACGCGGCGTGATAGACGAGAAGTAGGAAACTTAACCGGGTCTCTTGCTCTAAGTTTGTTCATTTCACACAAAATGCTCGCAACTTCACTATCAAACACCAAGCTTTATGCGACGTTAATAGCGGAATTAATATTACACCAACGCACGATGTTGCCCGCGCGTACGAACAGTATTACGAAAACTTGAAATTAATTTTATATAATCAAATATTCTCTGCAAACATTGAGAACTGACTTTAATGTACGCTGCGTCCGGTCACTAAACAACAATACAAGAAATAAATGTTTACAATCGCAAAAACTTTGCAAAAAATATTTGATAAATATTGCAGTAGCTCGAGTGTATTTATTCGAATTGTGATTTGTATTACTGAAAACAACACACGTATACACAAAAGATGCAAGCGTTTCGCGGGCTCAGCCGGTCGCGCGCGGCTTCCTAATTTTCTTAATTTTAAGTTACGAGGCCATCGAGTGCCTCCGGGCACCGGTGAATTTTTTAATCTCAGCCGCACCTTTCTCTCGCACTCTGCCGCCTTCTTGCTTCCCGTCTTCTCTTCGTTGTAGTTTTTATTAAAAATAAGCGAGCGCCGATAAGACTGCACCGCGCCGGTCGGAGGTCTTGAGTTTAGAGCGTTGTTTCGCTATGCGAACCAGCTGCCACACGAAAAACAGTGCCGTGTATATTCGAACGTTGAGGCGGTCGCATAAAACGCCAAAAATTTCCCGCCGCGCTTTCTCGAGACACGTCGGTTTCTTCTTCCCTGTGTGTTTTTTTTTTTTTTTTTTTCATCTTGACGGCGCAAACCTCACGAATTCCTTCGCAGTCCCTTGACATCGGATAAGGAAGTGGTTGATCTCATTTCGGAATTTACGAGAGCCGCAGAATTCCGTCATCGGTTAGCGCCGCAACGAAATTAAGTTCGTCCCGCGAACTGCCCGTAATATCGTTATCGCGAGCAATAGTCTTGTCTCGCGTTGACTTTTATCAGTGGTAGTGGTAGCAGTTCCTACTTCGTACCTCGAAGACTTTTGTGTGTGCGCGCGATGCGGCTTAAAAATGAAATTCCCCGAGAGAAACGCGGGAATATTGCTTTAATGAAATTGAAAGTAGAACGCGTCCACGCGATAGGGCATGCGAAAAAATTACCAATGCAGAATTTAATATTTGAATATTTTTAACGCTAATTTTTTTATATCAGAAATTTTACCGTTTTAATTTTAGTCTTTCCGATCTTTTTTGCAATATATTTATATTGTCACAGATGCGAAATATTAACGCGCTTTTTATCATGGAGCGCTTTAGGAGGATTAGCAATCTGTAAAATTGCTTGGCGTGTTTCGTATATTCTCGTGAAAAATGAGAAAAACTTTTTATCTTCATAAACATACGAGACCTACGGGCCTAAGTTAAATATAATGTTTTAATCGGAATAGTTCGCACTTTGAACACACCCGGTGCGCCGTCGTATCGGGTCTAGAGGACTTATTACAACGATCCGGAGGGTCGATTTTTAGGGTTCGCCGGTGTCTCATATCGTGGGCAGATGGGTTCCTCGTTTTACAACCAATAAGCGCGCGCTCTCGGTCGCGCACTTTGAACTGTCGTTACGTACCTCGCTTTCCCCGGATTTATACAGGGGTTCTTTAACGCTTATCGCACTACTCCCTCTCTCGTTCTTAAAATCTTTGACAAATTTGTGGGCAAACTTTCCTCAGCGGAAGTTTGATTACTCTCGTCGTTTTTCCTCAAAATTCGGCTCGCGCGTTCAAGACACGAACAACATTTATTCGGACGTAAACTTCTGAGATAAAAATAAAATGAGGGAAAGATTTTAAACGAAATTTTGTTGTACAGAAATAAGATCTTGTTGTTTATATATTGGCACTTGTAAAAAGATTTAAATTTAATTTATCAAGTTAAAGAAACACCGACTCTTCAAGAAGCACCGACTCTGTGAATAAGATTGAAAATTTACGAGTATCTATTGTCGTAATAGTCTCAAACGGTCTTAGTGCTGTTACGTGAGAGTAGCAACATGGAAGGCTGCCCAATCTCATAAATAATACAATCTCTCTCTCTCTCTGTGTGTGCGCGTGCAGCGTGCATGAGCAATTGCATTTGCGCGTGTATTTACGCGACGGTAGAACAATCCAGTTAGGGGGTTGCAACGCAGATTGCACGATGTTGCAAGCTGAGCATTCGTGCCTTCTTTCGACCTCAAAATGCACCGCGCCACGGCAATCATATTTACGAGCAACTCTGATTTTGTGAGCGACACTCTAATGCATGATATATCTTTGATTTCTCCCAGAGGGAGAACTCGAGCGAACCGCACCGCCCCGGTGGCTGAACTTCGCCACCGTTGTCGTGTGTTATAAATGCGAGTCGAGGAAAAAAAGTTTCAAGACACATTGCTTTGATTATTCGCGTAATGTGTGTTTTCCGTCTCTCTCTCTCTCTCTCTCTCTCTCTCTCTCTCTTTTTCTCTCTCCGGACGTAGTCTTTTACGTTGTAATAAACGAGAAAAAGCGACGTAAAAAAAAACCTAATTAACAGCAATTGGTAAAAAGCACGGCGAGGTGACTCTCTTGCTTTGTAAAAATTATCATGTTTAAAATATAAGACATAATTACGTTATTTCTATGCAAATGAAATAAAAGAAACAGAGCGAATTGAATTTATTTGATCTCTCATGAGGATTTCACTTTCACTTTAATTCATTACGATAATGCGTTTAAGGCTGCTGATTTTAGAAGATTAAACAGTTACCGCTTCGGCGGCGGGAGGTGATTCCATAATACTCGTGGTTATGGAAACAGGTCGTGAGGATTATTAGGGACGAGAATTGCCGTAAAGAGAGAGAGAGAGAGAGAGAGAAAGAGTTAGAGAGTGAATCACCGCGAATAAAAACGCGTCTGGCTCGCGAGAAGAGATCCCCGCAAATGCGGAGAGAACTTTTCTACGACGACGACGACGACGACGACGACGGGATTAAGCCCGGCGCGCGCGAGCCTTCCTTTACTACGCCACACGCAACTGGTAGCATTGGCAGTATCTCGGCGAACAGTTTCTTAAGTCCAAAGAAGGAATCAGTGCGAGGAAGCCGAAGATGAAATTTTCGCGACGCAGCAAGAATATGTCTTTCTGCCTAAAGATGTCGGAAAATGTAACGCGTTTCTCGCGGGAAATATCGCAGCCGTAGTATCGCGAATTGCAAAAAATTCCAACACAATAAATATGCGAAAATAATCCGTGACAGTAGAAAAAACTTTGATTATTTTTACATTTTTTAACGTGTAAACGCGCGTCGCACGCGGTTAAATTCTGTTATTTTTTTTTATATTTCGGAATTAAACGTGGCACAAACGCTCTTACAACTGCTCGCGCGAGGGAAAGCCTTGAAGAAATTAAAACATTTCGGCGGATTCTTCCTGCGAAGAAGAACCTCCGCCGCGCGGGGTCTCGCCCGACGAAGAAATTGTGAACAACCTTGTTTTCTTGTCGTCCAAATATTTACTCGAATAAAATGGCCTTTTCAAACTCTCAACGCGTTTCTCGGCGGGGCAAACCTGCGCCGAGGATTTGCCTGCTAAGTTTTCGGTAGCAACTGAGAGTGCCCGACTACCCGGATATTTGCACATCCGCGTTAAATCACTAACACTAATGTATTTATGAGGGAGAAGTTAGACGAACCTCCATGCAATACGATAATTGAAATTACCGCGCAAACCAGTTTACCGGCGGGAATTGCGGGCTTCTATGCTCTAAATATTCGAAAGCCTCGCGATATTTGTATAGTTATGGAGGAAATGTTTACCAGTTGATGAGGGAGGAGGACACAACTAGAGATTAAAGCAAATCCTCGACGTAAAACCGAGCTAAGTTTAAGACGTACTCTTACGGCAAAGTTTGCATTGCGATGTCTTCTGGACATTTAATTTTAGGCATTACTTTTACATATTGCGCGCGTCCTCTGCGCAAATAGAAAATATGCGCTTAACAATATTATTATTCTTTTTGCTCTCCCGACTTTCACGGGCGGTTTGAACTAGAAATTTCTTGAACCCTGCATTCGGTGCCGACCTTTATCCAAATTGCGGAGTTGTCCGCTGTTCAACAAGCATGAAATGGCCGGACTCCGACGTTTGGATCCGAACGTGAACAAGGCGGACGGAAATATCGTACGAAAGCAAGCACCGAGGCAATTTTACAAATGGTTGCACGAATACTGAATGTCCCTTAACGGCGAAACAGAGGTCTGTGTGTAGTGTCACGTAACCAAAATAAATATGCAAAAGACGTGAAGATGAAGTTTCCCTCTAAAAAAAATCCGAAGAGGTGGTATTGAATCCTTTCAAAAACTCGGCAGACGTAAAGAAAATAAAAAGTCTGAAAAGTTACCTTTCGACAATTAAATGAATTTTATACTTTCTTTTCGTGATGTGAAAACGGTTCATTTAACAACGATCTCTCTAATGAAAATACATACTTTTTTCGAAATATTTTTGACGCGGATTCTTCTTATCTCTTCTGAAATATTCACCGCGTGTTCTGTGTATAGGTCATTTCTGCGGTACTTTGCATACCGGACATGAATATCTCACGGTGCTATCTTTGGGAAGTTAAACGAATGTACTGTGTGCATATCATATTACCGTAATAAATCGGGATCT